CACACATTGTGCACCCTCACCCCCACACAGCACCCTCCCCTACCTCCCAGCATCCCTCCCTCCCAGCACCCCTCCCCTCCCCCACACCCAGCTTCCCTCCCCTCCACACAGCATCCCTCCCCATCCCTACCCCCACACACAGCAGCCCTATCCCCCTGCTACAGCACCTCCCCACAACACACACACCCCTGCCTGTGACCCCACCCCCACACAGCACCCCACACACACACAGCACCCTCACACGCACACACACACACTGCACCCCCTACACACACACACACACATCACCCCTCACACACACACACACAGCACCCCTCACACACAGCACCCCCACACACACACACAGCACCCCTCACACACACACACACAGCACCCCTCACACACACACACACACACACACAGAATCTACACACACACACAGCACCCCCTCACACATCACCCTCGTACACACACACACAGTGCACCCCTCACTCACACACACACACACACACAGCACCCCTCACACACACAGCACCCCACACAACACCCCCCTACACACACAGCACCCCTCACACACAAACACAGCACCCCTCAGACACACACAGCAACCCTCAGACACACACAGCAACCCTCAGACACACACAACACCCCTCAGACACACAGCACCCCCACACACCACACACACAGCACCCCACACACAAACATATACACTACACCCCTCAATGTAGTATGTGTGCGTATTCAGTAGTCTGTGTGTGTGTGTGTGTGTGTATTCAGCAGACTGTGTGTGTGTGTATATATTCAGCGGACTGTGTGTGTGTACTCAGCAGTCTGTGTGTGTGTACTCAGCAGTCTGTCTGTATGTGTATTCAGCAGACTGTGTGTGTGTGTGTGTATTCATCAGTCTCTGTATTCAGCAGTCTTGTGTGTGTGTATTCAGCAGACTGTGTGTATGTATTCAGCAGTCTGTGTGTATGTATTGCATTTGTTGGAGATACTAATAAATATAAGCTTAATTGTATCTATTTATATCATTATTTAAAATTTGTATCATTGAACTCTCTGTTGTTGTGTTCTTTTAAAACAAAAGTTGTTAATTAGTTCGGACAACAGTACGAGCTGTTTTTTTTAAACGTAAACCTCAGTATTGAGGTTTAATTGCCGTGATGGCACTTAAAGGAAAAAAAAGTTGGCATGTATTGCGGTTTGGGCACTCGGGCTCAAAAAGGTTCGCCATCACTGCTCTAGTGGCTGTCTCATTGACAGCCGCTAGAGGCACTTCGGCGCTTCTCACTGGGATTTTCACAGTGAGAAGACGCTTGTGTCCATATGAAAGTATTGAGAAATGCTTTCCTATGGACTGATTGAATGTGCGTGCGGCTCTTGCTGCGCATGCACATTCATCTGAAGAGGGAGGAGAGTCCCCAGCGCCGAGGGAGCCCAGCGCTGGAGAAAGGTAAGCTTTAACCTCTTTCTCCCCCTAGAGCCCGTTGGGAGGGGGGCCCTGAGGGTGGGGGGGGTGGACCTATTAACACTATAGTGCCAGGAGAATGAGTTTGTTTTCCTGGCACTATTGTGGCCCTTTAAGATTGAAACATTATGGTGTATGGACCCCTGCATGAGGGTCCAGCAATGCCAGAAGAGAATGTCATATAAAGGCTGGGGAAAAAATGAGTTAGGATTTGAGGAGTCAGTAAAAAATTGTTTTAATGATTCAATTTTAATGATATTACATACAATTAATGCTTAACATAGATTTAACCAAAAAGCAAAAATAGTGTGTTAACAAGGCGCTTATTCTTTATAGTGAAATAAATATATATAGCAGCTACCACTGTAAATAGGGACCCTCTACCCCATACATAAATACAAATATTGATCAAGTGAACACTCAGTGTAGGGAATTTAGAAATAAAACCACCACTGGTGTACATGTGGACGCTCAAAGTTTGACCAACTCACCCATATGAGCTTACATACAAATGTATAGGAAAAGGAAATAGGAATCCTGAAACAAATATAGATACAAATGGTGCAAGTAACATTGGATAATAAACACAATAATTAAATATTCTATATAGACTCACTCACATATAGCTGAGCCCTATAGGATAGGCTCAGATATTTAATTATTGTGTTTATTATCCAACGTTACTTGCACCATTTGTATCTATATTTGTTTCAGATACACTGTTTCAGGATACTTTTCCTTAACATAGATTTGTTTGATTAGGTACGAAAGATAACATCTTTTAAATAGGCTTCATTTGCGAACGTGTCGGACAATTAATCTGGGAGTTTCTTAAATTTTTCGCTCGCCCATCAGTTGTTTCAGAAGGTCCATTGTGGCCCCGGCTGCATGGACAGTAGCCCCATCCTGTTGAAACCACATTTCAGGACCATTTGACACTACAGTAAGTAAAAGATGTTCAATTGTATCCCAATATCTCATACCAATTCACTTCCATTAATTTTGCTTGTAACTCTTTCGTGAAATTACCCATGATGAATGTCCCAAGACTCAGCTATAATATGTACCTGCAACAACTACTGTACTAATAAATAAGTCATTTACCTTTTAAAACCTACTTTGGTCCACACCGTATAATTGTTACAATAGTGCAAGCTTTGTTAATAAAAAACTAAGGCATATCAATGCTGCTAAAAGTGAGAGAACAATTTGTAACAATCAAACGGTAAGAAAATAACAAAAGTAATCAAATATAACAATAGGAGTGGTCATACATCATTTGGTTCTACTGTAAATGTGGCACTGGAAAGCAATGTAAATCAATATCAATAAATTATGAAGTTATCTAGATGTCAAGGGTGATTGTCGAATATCTTAAACACCGTTCCCAAGTTTTAGAGTATCTATGACTTTTGCCTAGAGATGACCAAGGTTCAAATCGATTCCATCCCTGATACCCAGCGGTCATTAGCCTCTAGTACCCCTCTGTCTTTAAAAGGCCCATGACCTAAATTTTCCCAAGGGCCCAAATAGCACTCAGTCCTTCCCTGCAGCACGGTAAAACATTGTGAATGCATGTAAATGTCTCTAATATGTTTAATTGTGTGTATTGTTTAATGTGTGTATTGTGTGTGTAGTATCAATATGTATCAGGGCTTCTATGTGCACACTGCATATCACCACTCCAATTTATGCACAACTGTGTTAGTTCATGTACTGTGTGTTTGCATTGTCAGTATGTGTGTATGTCTGTGTTGGAATTCCTGTATATGTACAAAACCAGTATGTACATGTGTTGGTCTACTTGTGTGTGTGTGTACATGCAAAATCAGTATGCATGGATGTTAGTGTTGCTGTGTGTGCAACTGGGCCCCTGTCAGATTGGCAGTATTGGGAGGATGTGAGTTCAGGTAATTTTCTCCCAGCTAACAGAGTACTACTCAGGAAGGCAGAAGAGGAGGTGACCTAGAGCAAACTCCCATCAGCCTTAGCAAGATTTGGACCCCATGGATGGCACCCTCCTGCACCCAAATGTTATTGAAGCAGGAGTATGACTAAAATATGTAAATTATGACTTTTGTGTGTCTCTGTGTGTGTCAGTGTGTGTCTGTGTCCGTGTCCTTGTCAGTGTGTGTGTGTGTGTGTGTGTGTGTGTGTTTGTGTATCTGTGTATGTCAATGTTTAATTGTGTTATTATAATCTTGTGGCTGTGTACATGTATATCTCTATTAGAGATGAGCGAACCCGAACTGTAAAGTTCGTACCGAACATTGCGATTTTTGGAGCCTGAACCCGGACATTTCAGTAACAGTTTGGGTTCGAGTTCGGTGTTCGTCGATTTAATTGCACATTTTGAAAAGCTGCAGGGCAGCCAATCAACAAGCGTTTGACTCGTGTGCCCTTAGAAGCCATCACAGCCATGCCTACTAATGGCATGGCTGTGATTGGCCAGTGCAGCATGTGACCCAGCCTCAATATATAAGCTGGAGTCACATAGCGCCGCACGTCATATGAGCTCTTATTAGTGTAGAGAGAGGATGCTGCAGCTGTGAGGGACAGATTAGGAAAGAATTCTGGTGTTGAATCTGCAAACTACAGTGATTATTTTTGTGGGTGCTATACTACATTTTTGTACCCTGCCCTGAGCCCAGTGCCACAGAGAAATAAGCAATCAGTCTGTTTGTTAGGTGGGCACTTGTAACTGCATGTGTGCCAGGCACATTACTTTAATCCTGTTCTGGTAGCTCAGTGGGCAACATCTAGGCATTTTTAAATACTGCTGTGACATTGCAGTTTGACAAATTCAAATTTTTTCTCTTTACAGGAAGTGTTTATGGAAGTCTGTGTAAGTCACATGCAGGGAGGTGTGACTAGGGTTCATAAACAAAGGGATTTAAGTCTGTAAATGGCAGAGGATTGAGCAGTGAGGCTGCAGGGGCATGATCTATACACCAAAACAGCTTCATTAAGCTAAAGTTGTTTAGGTGACTATAGTGTCCCATTAATTGTTGACTATTGGCGGTTACATTGTCGCCTGACATAAACCATCTGTTAGTTTGGGCCCGAGGCGGATAGCAGTTTGGCGCATGTCCTTCCGCCACCAAGGATTGCAGGGCATTTCTCTTTGCCTCCTGTTGCCTCCTCCTCCGCTTCCTCCTCTTCTACCACCTCCTCCTCATGACAGCAGGCAGTTTTAAAACTCATATGTTTGGGGCCCGGCCTGGTGGTGTGCGATAATGGGCGAAATCTCGTAGCAGCTCTGGGCCTAGCCGGTTTGACGCACATCCCTTGCCTGGAGCATGTGCTGAATTTGGTGGTGCAGAAATTCCTGAAAAACTACCCAGATATATCAGAGCTGCTACAGAAAGTGCAGGCCGTTTGTGCGTGCTTTCGGCATTCTCACCCTGCTGCTGCTTGCCTGTCTGTGCTCCAGCGTAACTTTGGCCTTCCCGCTCACCGCCTCATATGTGACGTGCCCACAAGGTGGAACTCCACCTTGCAAATGCTGGAGAGACTGCGCGAGCAGCAGCAGGCGATAGTGGAGTTTCAGCTGCAGCACGGGTCAGTCGCTCTGCACCAGACTTGCCCTCCAATAGATCCTCGTTAAAGGATTTAAAGTGTACTCATTCCAATTACAGGGCCTCAAAGATTCCTGCATTGTTATTTTTCGTCATTACCTCCCTGCGTCAGGAGTGGGTAATTTGCGCGTCTGCTGCCTTCCTTGGATGTGGTAGCCTTTTCTCCGGCTCCCTCTCCGGAATCGAACCCTGATTCCCCATTACCCGTGGTCACCATGGTAGGCTCAGAAAGTACCATCGAAAATTGATAGGGCA